CCCTCAGAGTACCAAGAATACCCTCAGGATAGGGTAAGGACTGTTGTTTTCCTGATTGGACAACACAAGGAAACAGATTCTGGTAATTTCCTCTGTGCAAAGGGGTGGAGCCAGGTTTGGGGCTGAAAGCAGAGCCTTTTGTGCTGGGGCCTCACATCGCGGCCTCACCTTGGTGCTCCCAAGTGTCTCTCTCTTTCTTTTTTGCTTTCTGAGACAGAGTCTCACTGTATAGCCCTGGCTGGCCTCAAACTCTCAGCAAACCTCCTGCCTCAGCCTCCGAGTGCTGGGGTTACAGGCGTGCCACACTGTGCCCGGCTGCCCTAGAGTCTCTGTAGGGACAGAAGTAACAGAGCCACAGAATGCAGACTTCACGTCATTGACCCAGAGCCCATCTGTACAGGTGCCACTTCCCGAAACAAATGTGATCCCTGTGGGTCCCAAACACATTCTGATGAAAAAGAAACCAAAGGAGTAAGAAAAAACGAATCGGCACGTCGGTAGCAGTTAGAAAGAGAAAGAGTGTGGACTGTGGGGTGCTGGGTGTCACCTGTCACCTGCTACCCACTCCCTCTCAGAGGGGGACATTTCAGCAGGCAGGAGGGGCTGTATCGGTCTCCTGTGGGAGTGAAGCTCCCATGGCTGTGACATTTCATTCCAGCCCTCCCTCCGCAAGTGCAATTTTATTGAGTAACTTTTTTCTCCTTGGGAAGAAGCTCCCTGCCATGCCCAGCTCTGGTCATTGCTTTGTCTTTTTTTTTTTTTTTTTTAATCTTTCTGAGACAGGGTCTCGCTATGCAGTTCAGGTTGGCCTTGAGCTCACTTTGTAGCCCAGGCTGGTCTTGAACTCCCAACGATTCTCCTGTCTCAGCCTCCCCAGTGCTGGGATTACAGGCATGTGCCACCACGCCCGGCTTCTTCCTTTCCTTTGAGACAGGCTCTTGCTATGTAGTGCAGACTGGCCTTGAGCTCACTGCGAAGTCCAGACTGGTGTTGAACTCACAGTGATCCTCCTGCCTCAGTCTCCCCAGTGTTGGGATTACAGGTGTGTGCCACCATGCCTGGCCTTTTCCTCCTTATTTAGGAATAAACCAAAGAGAGCCCCTATTCTTTGGAGGAGAAGTGATCGGTGAAGTCTGCTAGCCAGTGGCTCATGTCCCAGGGAGTCTTGTGCATACCAAGGCCCTGTCCTTGGCTCACATTCGGCTTCTAGGGTCAGTCTGTGTGTCCCATCTTCAATGAAGAAATCTACAGTTACTAAGTGGATATAGCCAGGCTTAGTTGTATATGTCGGTAATCTCAGCACTCGGAGGCTGAGGCAGGGGGATGGTAAGTTCCTGGGCAACTTTGTGAGGCCCTGGATCAAAATTTTAAAAAGGAGGCGGGCTAGGGCTGTAGCTCAGTGTGAAAGCTTGCGTTCAATCCCCCGTGCCACACATTAAATAAATGGGCCAGCACGAGAGGCAGCAGAACGAAGCGGTTAAGAGCTGGGGTGGGTTGGGTCGAATCTGCCTCCACCACTTCCTAGCTATGTGACTGTGGTCACTGGGCACCACAGGAGCAAAGTAGCCCAGCCTGGTGTGGCACACGTCTATAATCCCAGCACTCAGGAGGCTGAGGCAGGAGGATTGCCATGAGTTGGAGGCCAACCTGGGCTACACAGTGAGACTCTGTCTCAGAGTAGTATTCTCGTGAATTGTGAAGGTGAGATGGTTTGACCCACATCAGATACGTGCAGTGCTAGGAACTGTTTCAAAAACACAAAAAAGATTAATACTTTTTAGCATTTAGGGGTAGGGTATAGCTCAGTGGTAGAGCATTTGCCTGGCATGTTCAAAGCCTTGGGTCCATGCAGCACAGCAAAATCAAATGGTAAAAGCACTTTTTTTTTGTACCAGGAATTGAACTCAGGACCTTGCGCTTGCGTCCTACATGCGCACATCATACATCTGAACCCGGAGTAAGGGCCAAGGAACCCTTGTTCACAGCTTGTCTGGGGGATGTAAATCCAGATATTCTTTACATTTTCCTCTAGTATTTGTGTCACTTTAAGATGGGGAGGGGATGGTACAAAGGCCACATGAAAATAAGCCTTGAGTCTTAAAAAATCTGTTAAGAAGCCAGGTAGGTGTTGGGCTGGGGATTTAGCTCAGCAGCACACCACCTGCCTGGCAAGTGCAAGGTGGTGAGTTCCGTTCCCAGTACTGGGAAAAAAAAAAAAAGCGTTGTGGCCCATGCCTGTAATCCCAGCACTGGAGGCTGAGGCAGGAGAATTGCTGTGAGTTTGAGGCCAGCATAGCTACATAGTGAGTTCAAGGCCAGCCTGAACTGCGTAGGAAGACCTTATCCTATCTCAAAAAAAAAAGTCTTTGAATTTATGACTTCATGCTTGCCAGGCAGGTGCTGCACCACTGAGCTATATCACCAGCCCAAAAAGTCTGTTAAGAAAATTTCCTATTTGTTGAACAAGAGCTCTACTAGGAATGAAAAAAAAGTCCAACGGTGAGCTAAAATCTTGTTTTTGCAAAATATGACAAAGTAAAAACATTAAAAAGGGTAAATATTCTTAAAATGTAATAAGCTATTATTATTATTGTTACTGCCATTGTTTTGTTTTGTCTTTTGGTCTTTTTGAGACAGGGTCTCGCTGTGCAGTTCAGGCTGGCCTTGAGCTCACTTTGTAGCCCAGGCTAGGGGGCTGGGGATTTAGCTCAGCAGCACAGCGCCTGCCTGGCAAGTGCAAGGTCATGAGTTCGATTCCCAGCACCGGAAAAAAACCAACAAAAAAAAAGAAGTAGCCCAGGCTGGTCTCGAACTCACAGTGATCCTCCTGCCTCAGCCTCCGGAGTGCTGGGATTACAGGTGTGTGCCACCATGCCCAGCTATTTTGTTTCTTTGAGACAAGGTTTCACTATGTAGTTTAGGCTGGACTTGACCTCACTGTGTAGTCCAGGCTGGCCTCAAACTTGTGGAGATCCTCCTGCCTCAGCTTCCCAAGTGCTGGGATTGCAGAGGTTATACCCATACCTTACTCTGAGCAGTTGAGCTGTAGCTATAGCTTAGAGGTAGAGCGCTTTGCTTTTATCTTTAGCAACACACATGCACACACAATTATAAATCACTGAGAGAAAACAAACATCCCCTAAGTCAATGAGCTGATTTGGGTAGCTAATTTACACGAAATGTAAATGTCACCTACTATGCTAAAAAAAGATGTATTATTGGTAGTAAAGCATTTTCAATCTGTCTATTTGGCAGAGTTGATTAAAAAAATAGGTATCTAGTGTTGTTTGGTGTAGACTGGATCAGCCTATCAGCAGGAACATTGGGTCATAAAAATTGTATCCTGCCTTCGGATGTTTCCTAACCTTCCACTGAGAAATCCACTTCTAGGTATTCATTCCCTTCTAGAAATAACCATGAGTTTGCAGGGAGATCTTAACCGTAGAAAGGCTGAAGGCGGTACAGTATTTTTTCTGATAGGAAAGGTGGCTGCAGGTTTGGTAATTGACATGGTGGTACGCTGTGTAGCCAGTAAAAATGAGGTCAGAGAATATTTATTGTCTTTCTTTTTTCCTTTTTTTGTTTTTTTTGAAATGGTCTCACTATGCAATTCAGGCTGGCCTTGAACTCCAAAGCTCCTCCTGCCTCTGCCTCAAAAGTGCTGGAATTACAGGCGTGCGTCACCACGCCCAGCTGGTCATAGAATATTTAATGACATGGAAAAATGTTAATAGTATTTTTTTAGTGGAAAATTTGTGAGGACATCATTTAAAAATGTGGCTATTGTAGAACAAAAATGAGAGAAATACTCAGGAGGCTGAGGCAGGGGGATTCCAAATTCGAACCCTGCCTGGGAATTTTAGTGAAACCTTTTCTCAGTATAAAATTTTTGGGCTGGGGATGTAGCTCACTGTGAGGCCTTTGGGTTCAATCCCCTGTCCTGGGGGCAGGGAAGGAAGGAAGGAAAAAAGAAAGGAAGGAAAGGAGGGGTCAGGGAGGCAAGGAAGCAGTCCGCCGAAGGCGATGCTAATGCTTCCTGGTCTAGGGCCTCTGTTTAAGTAGCAGTGGAGCCGGATGGTCATGTTGGTGATGGTCGTGGTGCAGGCTTGTAATCCCATCACTCTGGAGGCTGAGGCAGGGGGGTGGCTGTGAGTTTGAGTCCAACTTGGGGTACATAGACCCTGTCTCAAAAAGCCACCCCTCTCCCCCCAAAAAAGTAGCAACGCAAGACAGCACAGATTCTGGAAGAAGCTTCCCAGTCAGTCCACATGGTGTAACTGTTACCATGCCTCAGTTTCTTTATCTGTAAAATAAGAATACCTAAATTGTAAGGGATTTGTAGATTTAACAAGTCCTGCATATTAGAACAGCAGTCACTAAAAATCCTTCATGACGGCGCCTAAGGCATTTTCGTTAGATTCTTGGGCATTTTAAAGTTTGACGAGTGCATACTCGAGCGAATCCACGGCCTTTGGGAGCAAGTCTTTTTTCGGGTGGTCACAGAACCAGAAGTGGGGATCGGGAAGGGCTGTGTACGGGGAGGCGGCCCAGCTCCCAGAAGCTTCTCCCGAGCCCGGAAGCCGCGGGTCCCCGCCCGTCGACCCTGGGGCCGCGGCGGGGAGGGAGGAGCGCGCGCCGGCCCCTTCCGCC